TTTCAAAACATTCCTAAATTAAGTAACATCTCTTCATTCTTCTTCCACTATTTCCAAATTGTCCAATTCTACATATGGTCTCCAGTTACCATTGTTTAGTAAATTATTTCCCTGTAAAAATAAGTGGATTATATATTTTTTTCAGTTGATAGTTAGTCAATAATCAGAATTTTAAAAACTAAAATGTTAATGTCAGGATCCTGAGGTGTCAAGGGCCCGGGCAAATCTTGAAGGGTGGAGCTCTGTGTAGTCTTAGCTGCCTTCAGTGCCCAGATGAGTCCTTTAAGCAGGATGCCCAAAGTGTTAGGCCCTATTGTGCGGAATTTACAAATGATGCCTCATGGAAGAGGAAAAATTCCATGACGTCCATCTGTTGAAGGCACAAGTCTGGCCTCAGATGCAGTGGGAAAATTAAATGGTACTGTGGTTTGAATATTCCTGCCCAAGCTCATGTTGAAATTAATTACCATGAGAATGGTTTTGGGAAGTGAGACCTTTTAAGAGGTCATTTGGTTGGAAGGCTCCATTCTCATGAATGGATTAATGCTGTTATCAGGGGAGTAGTTTACTTATTGAAAGCTTGGCTTTGTTACAGAAGCAAGCTCGCTTGCCTGTTTATCCTCTTACTTGCCTTCCCACCTTATTATGGTGCAGCATGAGGGCCCTTGCCAGATACCAGTGCTATACTCCTGGATTTCTTAGTTCTGCCCTGGTGTATATTCTAAAAACGAATAAAACAATTTCTGCTCAAAAAGAAATGATGGGCTGCTAAATTCTCCTTAACTAAGTTCTGAGGAAGTTGAGAAAGTTTCTACCCTACATCTATCGATTCTCCAGGAAATAAAAAAAGATTTTCATGCAAGACATTTCTTGGTGTGATTTCAGGAATAATACCTTGAAGGATGTGGGAATTGGAAAAAAAGGAGACATCGGACTGTGGTGCAGCTGCAACAGAGATCTCAAGCAATCCTACTGGGAATTCTGGCCTGGGGTGACCTTCAGAGTTGTCCTGCCTGGGCTTTTATACCCATGCTTCAACTAGTCCCTGGATTTGAGCCATTTCTGGGGAGTGCATGAACTTGGGAGAGGAAGCTCTCTGTGCACTGGGGACATTCCTGGAGAGGAATTCAGTTGAGAGCCATCAGCTGCCAACACTATTAGAAGTCAGGACAAGGAGAACATTGATCCTGAGAGGGAGGTCTGAATTGCAGATCACAAATCTCCACGACACCCTTTGTTTTCTCATGAACTAGTTGGTCATGGGAATAAAGAGGGAGGATGTGAGTAGAGAGGACTTAAAAAGTAGGTAAGATTAGAACTAGTTTTTTTTTTTTAATAATAAAATCTTTCAAGGACCAGAAGATGGGGACAGTTATGGAATCAAAGTTGGAGACCAAAAATTCTATTGGCATCACCCTTCAAGGTTGTGTGAGTTCACTGGCAGAACTCAGAATTTCAGGTGTCCGTGTAAGGAGAATAATAGAGCTGGATTCATTTAAGGTCAGGTGAAGCAGAAATTTAGAGGTTCAGTAAAGTTGGCTATATTCTCAAATGATCTTTAAGAGTTGGGGGGTCCAACTGAAACCAAGAGGGTTTAGTAGACTGTGGCTCATCCACAATACATTCTCAAATTATTGGGGATCCTTAGGTTGTGGTCCAAGACCTTTTATCTTCTGTCTACGTGGTTCTTTTAACTCATTTTTAAATACTATCAGTTTAAATTTATTAATTTTATTGTTAAATTTGAAATATCTATCTATCTATATATATATCTCTATATATCTATATCTCTATATATATTATATATTCCGCTCAAGGAAGACCTTTTGATAATCTTACCTTCACAGAAATTCTGGTGACAAATCATTTCATTGTTTACCTAAGAATGTATATATTCTACCCACAGTCTTGAAAGATATTTTTGCTAGATACTAAATTCTGGTTGTTAGTTATTTTCTCTCATCATATTGAGGAAATAATTCCATGTTTCCTACTAATCATTGTTCCTATTGAAAAGCAGGCCATTAATTTCATGGTTTGCTCTCTTTTTGAAGTAATTTCATTTATTTTCTTATTTTTATATTCTCCAGCTTCTCTATTTGGTACTCTTTAAATTTTCTATACTTCTTTATAGTTTCCAGTTCTCTTGAAAATTTCAGGCTTGTCAAAATGGCAGTCTTTAATGTTGGAATTCAGGTGTCTGAGGTGGGATGGTACCAGGTGAGGATACTCCCACCTGGACCACCAGAGTGAGTATCTGGAAGAGAATGCACTGGAGAGCATCAGACTGGGCAGGGATGTGAAACCCCATGAGGTAAGGGAGGCTGGTGGAGGATGACAAAGTTAATGATAAAGGCAAGGATGCAGATGTGATCTTGAATGAATGAATAATGAAATGTGCAGATAAGAGAGAGGCACAACAGAAGAATAATGGTAGCTAACGAGTAACATGTGCTGCACAAAAGAAAAAAAAAAGAACCTAGTGAACAGAATGCCAACCTCTCATCTGTCTCTGAAGTTAGTTGGGGTATTTCTCTGTCCACTTGAGAGCATCATGGAAGAAGCGGGTTTTCCAGTACAGTGTCACATTTCAGTACAGGCAGGAGAGCTGATCTGTTCCATAGAGAGGCCAGGACTATCTAGCATGAAGAGGATTTATCAGACATAGTAGCAAAGATGGGGTATGAGGAAAAAGGTAGTAAAAGAAGCAGAGCATTACAACCAGAAATCATATGAACAGAAAGGAGAAAGGGAGAAGGGCTATGCTATGGTCAGGGTTTGAAGGTGACAATAATGTAAGGAGGTGAGTTGTTGTGGGGTCCTTGGTCTTGTGCTTTTTGGTTGCTATGAATCCAGAGAAAGTTTGCTCGGAGCACATGGGCTGGTGGACACATTAGCTCCAAACGCGGTGAGCTCATACTGGAAGCATCAGTGGTCCCAGGTGAGTGAAAGAGAAGAAAGGTTCATTCCACAATTCCTTACCTCACACTAAAAGAGCAGCCAGAGGCCTCGTGGACTTGAGATGCAACTCAAGTCTTGCCTTGTTTGGGAAATAATACGAAGGACTCAGGTTATTAATGAGTTGGCAAACTCAGCTTCTTCAATAAAATAGAAAGTTAGATTAATGTCCAAGATTACTTGTGATTAAAACTTGAGATAACATAGATGACTGCATTTTAAAGACTGTATTACAAAAGTGATCAGATTTAGAAAAGCATGTTTTATAAACTAACCAATAGGTTTTTATAATAATTTGAGGATAAAAGATCTTAGAAATGCCAAATTCCTCCTATAATGCTTTTTAAAAATAAGTATAATTTTTATTGAGAAAATATCTACCTATATGAATCAAAATTCAAATATAGACAAAAGTGAAGAAGAGAAAGAGAAATCCCTGCCCTCTGGGAGCCGTCAATTTCCCAAGGATGATTCCTCAAAGCATCTACTTTTAGGATTTTCTTACATAGATTTCAAAAACATTTTAAATAAATGGTGTCAAATATATTGATCTTTCTAAAATGTTGTCAGGAGCACTCTGTAAAGTATTTTGTATGTGCTCTTCATTTTATAATCTTAGGTTTTATTCTATGTTAGGGCATTGTAGTGCCTGTTTTCTGTTGCTAAAATAATTACCTGAGGTTGGGTACTTTATACAGAAAAGAGTCTGGTTTGGCTCAGAGTTTGGGAGGCTGAAATCGAAGATTGGGAAACCCTATCTGTCCAGCCCCTGTTGAGGGCCTTCTTGCTACCTCACAATGTGGCACATGACATCACAGTGGGAACATATTCAAAAGGGTAGTGGGTGTCATATGGCAAAACAGGAAACCAAAGTGACTCAGAGGATAGGATTGCTCTTTTATTATGATTTACTTTTATCGAAAATAACTAGGAACCCTCAAGAACTACATGAATCCCTCAGAGAGCAAAATCCCCTTGACCTGACCTTCTACCAGGCTACACCTCTTAAAGGTTCCACCACTTAACATCATGACACTGAGAAGTGAAATTCCAGCGTATGATATTCTTGGGATACTCAGACCATACCCAAACCATAGTGGGCACATATATCTAATTCATTCTTTCTCGAGGGTCAGGTACTTGGAATTGAACCCTGTGGTAACTTTACCACTGAGCTACGTTTCCACTAAATTGCTTAGCGCCTTGCTAAGTTGTTGAGGCTGGCTTTGAACCTGTGATTGTCCTGCCTCGGTCTCACAAGTCATTGGGATTACAGGCACACACCTCTGCAACTGTCTCTAATTTATTTTTCCTCAGGTATTTCACTGTGGGACCATACTATTATTTCTCTTATAGACCATTACTAATAGACGTTTTTCCCCCAGCTATGAAAGAATATCAGTACAGTTGGAATTTGCACTCAAGCAAAGTCCTATCCATGTCTGTAGACCAGGAGGCTTGCAGCATCTGAGCAATTATAATTTATTTAGATGAAGATATCTGACTTCCAATGAAATCAGCTGGATTTCTATATAATCATAAGTTGTGTATAATCAAAATTTTCTTAGGTGAATAATGGGAGAATGAGGTTTTAACTTGCAAATATTTAATTATGAGGTATATTGAGTTTCTTTTTAAATATTTGTTTGCTCTTTGCATTTATATTGATATTGTTCATTTTCCCCTAACTTTCCACTGTTTTGGTTGATTTGCAGAGTTTTCATATATTAAGACTATTTTCCTCTTTCTTTAATTATTTGCTTATTTTCTATTTTCTTCTTTTTGGCTTTCTGATTTTGATTTTCTTGTCAAATTTCTTTTTCTTTATGAAATCTAATTTCTGGGTTAAAGCACTTTTTCCAACAAAAAATTATATGTACCTGTTTTTCCCTAATGCATTTACGTTTTTTCTTTTTGAAACATTTGAGTCTGTGATTTGTGGGAATTATTTAAACAATGGGGAAGAGCCTTATTTTCCCTATAATTTCAGAGTTATCCCCTTGTCATTCATTTAATAATCCATGTTTGTCTAATGTTTTTAAATTCTGCCATTGGAGTACTTTACTATTCTCTATGTTGTCAGTTCTGAAGTTTTCTTCTAATTATCAATTTGTCTATGTCTTCTCAACAGCAAAATTTTAATCATCACACCTTTAGAATATGTTTTTGATATTTAACGGGCCCTGATCTCATTACTATCTTTTTTCCTTCAGAATTTTCCTGATGATACACATGCAATATTTCCAGATGGACTTCAGAAACAGGTTGGTCCTAGAAAAAGTTATTATGATGGATGAAAGCTGACATTTTTACAATAGTCAAGGTTAGGGTGCAACTTTCAAGTATTAGGTCTTCTTTTCTGTTCCTTGGAAATTTGTTTCTCATCTGGATTCTTTACATTTTCTGTTTAGTGTATTCTAGACTTTTATTTAAAAAATTTTATTTGTTCTTTTTAGTTATATATGACAGTAGAGTATATTTTGACATATTTATACAAACATGGAGTATATCTTTTTTATTATTGTTTTATAACTCTAACTGGGATGTCCTCTAATATTTTCTTTTCCAAGTACTTGTTACTTATGTTTAAGAAATGCTCTTTGATGTTTTGTAAACTGCTCTTTTACTCAAGGGCGTTTTACTAAACCCTGCGTTGTTTGCATTGTTTCTAATGATTCTGTTTCATTGGAATGATTTTCTTGGGTGAAGGCCCAAAATAAAACTCTTTATGAAGTATTTAGTCATTCTGTCATCATCAATTTCATCATCACCGTCATTACCACCACCCTCATCAGGAATGGTGGTAGGAAAACCTGAGAGCAGCGACACGAGTATCAACCCTTCAAGTCCTACTTAACCTATTTTTCCCATGTAGAGTCAGAGTGATGCAGAATGAGGGTCTACTCAGGGGAGAGGGATCCCACTACGAATAATACAGAAAAATATTTATTTCTTCACTCAATAAGATATTTGTGGATGGTCCCTTCTATATTATTTAGCAGATGCCAAACATACACAAATAATTTAAAAATAGGAAGAAAAGGGAAAGCTAGACTTTATTCTATTTTATGCACTTTATCTCATATATTTCTCCCCCAATCAATTTATTGGCAATCCTCAGGCTACCAAAGGCAGATTGAGTATCATTTTATTTAGACCTTAGGTACATCAAAATTCTATCTTGTCTGTAGATCAGCAGGATCACAGTTTATGAACACTTATAATTCATTTAGATTGTTTGTAAACATGTAACTGATGCCCAGAGAAGTTGATTCTCTTGACCAGGACAATATAGTGACATATTTGGGACTGAAATTAAAATCGAATGTAATTGTCCTTGTCTTTCTTTTGCCTCTTTCCCTTTCATTAAGGGGAAGCCCCAGGTTGGCATTCTTGGATGGTGCCAGGACAGAAGTGGTGTCAAGGAACTGTGTTCAGAGGAAGGTAAAATCAAATGCCACCCGTGGTTGGAAGAAGTGCTGGAGAATGAATGGGCATTCATCGGATAACCCATGAGTTGGAGAGGAAGATATCCTGGTGATGGGAAATATTTCAATAAAAGGGGCCGGGGAAACACTAAAGTTAAGAAATTATTCTAAGCTCTCATGAATTTCCAGGTCTGAAATGTAGCACGCCATAATGGAGTAGAGTTGAAGCTGCAACTGTGGCCAGAGGCTGTAGATGTTAATACGCCACGTGTGGTAAGTTAGTACATCAGTGAGTTGTCATTGACTTCTTTCTTTTTAACATCCTTATTAAGATGTAATTTACACATCATAAAAGTCATCTGTTTGAAGTGTGCAACTGGGAATGTACTCCAGAGGAGGAGGTACAGTTTTAACTTGGAGATAAGGATTTAAGACTCATCAGGGCGTATGGAGGAGTGGGGTGAATGAAAACACCAGGGCAGTGTGAAGGACAGGGACGGGATATAGGGGAGCCGCGCCTTGTAGGCAGGCACGGGGAAGAAAAGCCCACGAAGGAGTCATCAGAGAGGAGGAAGGGGAGAGGCCGTGTGCCACAGAAGCACATATCTAAAAGGAGAGCATCCAGTACCTCAGAGAAGCCTGACACAAAGAGAACTGGAAAGTCTCCAATGCACATGATGGCTAGGAAATTCTGCAAGCACTTGGTAAAAAGGGATTTTGGGGTAATTCTGCCCAATTAGAATGGAGAGGCTTAGAACAGAGGCAAGAAAATGGGATCAGTGAGTCGAGATCTGTCCTCTGGGGAGAATTCCCAACTCCATAACGAGATCTAGAACCTCTCCTTGGCCTCTGTGTTCACGAACTTGAGACAAGTTGGAGACACTTAAACTAGTCCTGTCCTTTTTTTGGCTTAACTTTTGATGGTACATGGGACCCGAGCTTTCCTCTGGGTGGGCCTCACATAGGCCATCTCTGCTATTTTCAGGAATCTAAGACAAAAGAGGGAGGACTTCTGGGGACCCACAGCAGACAGTGCAAACAACTTTACCAAGATCTTGCTTTGGTTCTCAGCTATATTCATTAAGATAGTGCTATTGGGATCCATTAAAATGGGTGGGCCCTATTTTATCTAAAGCCTAACTATGATGAAAGCCAGTGGGTAATCAATTCAAGATATTCTGCAGATTTACTCAGAAGAAGGCTTCTTTATTGAATTACTTCATCAATACTTTTAAACCAAGAAGTACTTGAGCCCTGGGTCTGATGCCTTTTGCTCCAGTTTAGGGTGATGTGTTTATTCCCTGGCAATTGCACTTGGAATCCATAACAATGCCCTTCTCCTCACCAATGACCCAGAATCATCAGAGTTGGATGAGGCCCACTCCTAGAACCCTGGACCTCTCCAGCAGCAAGCGTTCCAACAATGGTGATCCGCTACCATCATGGAGCAGATCCAGAGTCAGTCTGGGAAAATGTGAAGTCTGCTTTGGGCTGAGAGATTTGATCTTGTCATGCCACAGGGAAACCAGAGTGAGGCAGATATGTCAAGATTTTCCATGGTCCAGCTCTTTGACCACCAGTTTCTTAGTATTCTGGCCCAGTTGTGGTGGGATGGAGGTCATTAGCAGACAACCCACCTAATCAGGCCTGATTTTTCATCTTATAGACCCTAAAGGCACATACAGCCACCCAGAAATGTGTAATCCCAGAAACATAGCCTCTCCTCTCTCAAGAAAATTTGGCAAGTGCTCCTGTCTTTTTCTATCCTCTTGTCACTCTGACACTGATTATTATTATTTTCCAGATTTTAATAAAAATCGTATCACATTCAGATCTGGTCCCCGTTGTGCAAAGTTTCTATGCTTTCCAGCAAAAAGAATTCACATCCAATTATCTGTATGTATGTATGTGTGTACTTCAAATAATTACAATAAACTTGTTGACATAATCCTGTTTTTTTTAACACACACCCACACCCACACACAAAATCTACATTGCCCCAAAAGTTTGTTTTGGCAAAAAAGAAAAATTCAGTACCATTGATTTAAAACAACTTGAAAAATGTGAGGAGTTGCCTCATTCCTTTGCTCATATTGTTTCCTGTATGTAAATAGCCTTCCGTGGCCTCATTTATCACAGTGACTTCTCCAGGGAGCTGCCACTTCCTGGACTCAGGAGCCACCTCAGACTCCTACTTGTACAAAAACATTACAACAGGGAGCTAGAAACCCCAAGTTGAACAATTTATTGAAAATAAAAAAGCAACCAGTTACATGTATAAATAATCTATGGGTAGTCAGGGTTGTTTATTCAAGGGAATCTTGGGGAGGGTATGGATAAAAAAATTGTATAACACTGCAAGAAATTCCATGCACTCTGGTACTCCAGCCTATCTTCTCCAATCAAGCGATGACTGGAATTCTTGGAAGTGCTGTCTGGCTGTGGAGGAAAACCAGGTGGTAGTAACTGCTTCACCATGTGGCGCTGAGGGGCAAGGCTTGGGGACCAGCATGAATTAATCACAGGCTTTTAGGATGTCATCACGTTCCTTGGGTCTGGCTTTGGTGAATTCCAAAGTGAAAGCTGGGAGAGAAAACCCATTTTGGTTTTAGCATTTTCTTTTTTAAATGCCAGCATTGCAGTGGCAGGATTTCTTTGATGTTAGGAGTCCAGCGTCTTTGGAGAACAGGAATCCACTGCACCTGGTAGATGCAGTGTCTTCTTGGAGAAGGGGCACTGATGACAGGTGGCCTGAGATAAAGTCTCCACCAGTGAAAGAGCTGATGAGCATGCAGGGCCTCACTGTTGAGCAGCTGGGTCCAGATCTTTCTACTGGGGCATTTTGCCTAAAATATTCCCCACAAAGAAATCCAGTTAATGTTCTGCCCCATTGGCCTTTTAAAAGAGACACATTTTATATATCTCTACAGGTCAGCACAGAATGAATTTGGCGTTGTAGTTTCTACTTGCCAGTTTGCTGAGTGACCTTAAGAATGTAAAAGAACAAGAAAACAATGATCTGTCTCTCTTCAAAACATACTTTCAGGGAGAGATGCTCAGGTAAGCAAGTCTGTTGACCAGCCAAACAAAAGTCCCACTGAGATAATCTACCCCAAGGAAAACATTGAATGGAATTTAACAGAGCTTATATTACATTAACAAGATAAAGAATAGATACAGTCAAGTGTTTTGGAAAATTGCTCCTGGCTTTATCAAGTACGCTAGTCTTGGTTTTCCGAGACTCTGTGTTTTAGTTCTAATTATTTTGTTCATGTGTAACATATGTCATTCAATGAAGTCTTTGATGAGGTTTACACACCATATAAGAAGATAAAAAGTAGACATAATAGGAAACTTCCAGGCAGTGAATGAAAATTGCTACCTATGCTTAAATAAATCTCTTCCACCTTCCACTGGAATTCTCAGGAAATGAAGAAGGTGCAAAGCCCGTAGCACTGGAAATAAGGAGTTTGCTCATTGAGCCCAGCTGTGGAACTTTCACACATGATTTATATACAGCTCATATCTAAAAACTCTGAAACAGCATGAGACTGAGAAGAAGGAGGAAGGAGACTGTTTGCTTTCACCCCATCTGTTCTACCTTGGTAGCCAGGTCCCAGGAGGCTAACCAAAAAGCCTGGCCACCAACCCCTAGTAAGAGGGTTTGCCTTTGGAAATGCCCAAGGTTGTTCTTACTCAACCTCTCCCTGCCTTAGCCACACCATCTCTTTGGTCACATCTATAAAGAGTTTTACTTGGATGGCAGTGCTTACACAGTGAATAATGTTGCATTGTGGAATTGAACTCAATAGGAGAGATGATGGAGGCAATAAAGAGATGATGAAACCAATAGTGTGAGCGAAGTGTCTCCAGAATAGATGAATAAAAGGACTGTGTGTGTGTGTGTTCACCTACGCAGGAACCCTTTCTCCTTTATATTGACCACACCAGGCAGTGTCAGCAGAGGACTCTTCATACCACTTCAACAGAGGTGAGTGAATTAGATGCCTACTAGACAAGAGAATAGCAACCACAGTAGCAAAGGGCATCCTGCCGCTCAGCTTCAGATCTTGCAAGTGAGAAAGGGGATAAAATACTTTCTAGTTGCTGGCAAAAATCCTGAGGGCATTTTTCTTGCTCTGTTATGACTTTAATGAATAATGGGAAGACATTGAGACTAAAGAGGGAAATGATTATCCTAAGGAATGGAGAAATGATTTACCTCCTACAACAGAAGAAATATTTATTATATACATGTTCTATGTTCAGGGTAAAATGTAAGAAATGACGCTTAAGAAATAGAGATTGGGGCTGGGATTGTGGCTCAGTGGTATAGTACTTGCCTAGCATGTGCAAGGCACTGAGTTCGATCGTTGGCACCATATAAGAATAAATAAGTAAAATGAAGGTATTGTGTCCAACACACACACACACACACACACATTTCACACACACACACACACACACACACACACATATATATATATATATATATATATAATAGAGATTAACATATGAAAGATGTTGAGGTAGACTAAACAAACAAAAAGTTTAAAGAGAAACTTTTAAATGCCCAAGACTCCACTACAGAATTAAAGTCTAAATGGTAAGAGAGTAGAAAAAGAGTTGGTAACAAAATAGCCGCCTGGAGGACAAACTACACAGGCTAAGAAAGAAGAATGAATACACAAAGTAGAAATAAAATGAAAAGCAATGTAATAGATGTCAGAAATGGAAAATCCAGTTTATGACTACTTGAATTTGGCAAAATATAAACTAAAAGAAATGGCACAGAATAAAATCATCACATGGGAGGAAGCTTTCCTGAAGTAATAAAAGAAAATCTGGACTTTCTGAATAAAAAGGATATCTTGTAAATAGAAACCTGAACACACACCTGTCTACATGTTTTGATTTCAGTGATAACAAATAGCCACTCAAAATCACCCTTTCAGGAAGAAAGAAAAATTACAGGGAAAATATTTGGAAAAAAATATCTTTCCAAGATTCTTAGAAATCTCTTCCAACATTGAACATTTAAAGATAGTTCCGGGATTCTGGTGGATTTTCTTGGGGAAAGATAGAGAAACTCAAATTTCCGATAGCCAGCCCATAACTAGCCATGGCTTGGTTATCTGAGACCCATGTTCCTTTTTT